ATATATATATATATATATATATATATATTATTGTAGCTTCAAAACTTAAACAATGTATCAAAGTACATACACGTTGTCGTGCGAAGAAAAAAGAGACATATATTTCAAATGCCGGCGCAGACCGCACCGCGCGCGCGATAATGAAATAAAACGCGAGGCCGAGCGGTGTCGCGCTGACTCGCGCTTGGAAATAATCGTCGAACGCATGATTCAATCCACTTGAAAAATGAGTTAACAACTTATTCTCCATTTGTTTGTAAAAAAACGTGTTAATTTTCGTTTTATACACTCAATTTTAAACACTTATCTACTTCCAAGAAGTCCGACGAAAAATCAGAATTTTATAATTATTTTTTAAGTTTTCTAGTTTTGCGTAAGTTAATTTTTTTTATCATTGCATTGTCACACACGGATGTCAGGTAATTCCGCCTGTGAAAACACCATTCTCTACATGTAAGAATATTGCAATTTCTATTTGATCAAAGAATTTGACAATGTTTTGCGTCAATCGAAGTCTCTATTCTGATATCTTCCACATTATCTGTATAACTTGTAACTTTTTTTTTTAGCGTCACATATGGACGTATTTTTACATTGTATATATGAGTGCGTGGTAACTAATCTCGTGTTGTCTGAGTATTAAAACCGTGTTTGACGGCACTGGATTCAGACGGATCAACGAACTCAGCAATGAATATTCGGAGATCGCGCCGGTCGGCGCGAAACAGGCAGAGAGAGAAAGGATAAAAAAAAAGAAGAAAGAGAAAAAAAAGGAGGAAAAGAAGAAGAAGAAGAAGAAGAAGAATAAGAACAGGGAGAAGGTTACGGAAGAGAAGAGAGCTGCAAATATGCACACGTGCGCGGCGTCATAATCTTATCGCCGATCGCGCGAGTGATTCAACTTTGAACTTTCGGTTCGGCCGTCGGACGAAAATATATCCGCGGATTCGGCTATCGAAATGGCCGAACGGGAACGCAATTATTACAATATCTCGAAGATATTTTCGTAAACTCCAAGTTTTATTATTATAAAATTTTTTTTGTTCAATCGGGAAACAAAGACGATCGATTATTATCTCAGTCAGAAGTCAGTTAATCCTAATCGCACGGTTAGGTGTGTATCTCTCTATAAAAAATATAGTACACACACACACACACACATACGTAAATACTTAGAATTGGTTAAACTGAGATCATGCGTAAAAATCACGCTAGACGCGAAGCCGTAGAACAGTATGTTTTAATACCTATTACACTGTATAACAAAGGAATCCTTTTAAATCCTTTCACCTCTGATGATTAAAAAAAAATTATCGAGTAATACGTGTGTGTGTGTGTGTTGGCGAATATTTTATCAATGATCACTGAATACTTTTTGACATATTAGTTCTTTTTTGCGCGTACTCGAAACTTTTTGTAATTCTTGGAAAAGAAGTAAGTTTGAAGAACTATGTTATTTTTTTTTAACTATATATAAATGCATCATTTTGATAATTTAATGAAATATAATTTTGAATATATATAATCTATCACATCCACGAGATAAGCGAGATATGGATACGTATTAGCGAAGGAGACTTACGCTCGTCTGGGCAACGTCAAGGAACGTAAAGCGAACCAACAGTTCCAGACCGGTAAATCCGCTCACAGCTGGTGCAGCGCGCAACGGAGAGGAGCACCACCATTTCGTCGCTCAATTGTATCTCGTGCGCCGAGAGTGCACTTTCCATTCAGACGATACGATGACGACAGTTTCGCCGCAGCGTGATCAATCGCACCGCGCAAAGGCATTATATCGCACACATTCGCACGGGAAGAACCGAGAGAGAGAGAGAGCGAACGAGAGAGAAGAAATAAATTGTTTCAATGCTAGAAAAAGAATGTCACTTCTTGCAGAAAACTCTGAATCGGAAGATACGCACTGGCCCCGATCTAATCTCGTTACGAATGTGTGAAGAAAGAGAGAGAAAACATGAGGAAAAGAAGCGCCGAGAAGGAAACGGACTGGTGGCGGCAACACAGTCGGCTGCAACATGCACACAAGCGCGGCCGCGATATCGTACGATATCGTTATACTCTACGTATACAGAGAGAAAGAGAGAGAGAGAGAGAGAACTACACGTCGTTTTCGACTACGGCGAAAAATTTCGCATCGCCGAAAAATTAACGCGTCCGCGACGAACAGAAACGCAAACAAATCCGAGCAACGAAGCCGAGCAACGAAAGAAAAGAAACAAAAAAAAACAAAAGTCCTGCTCTCGGTTGCGAGAGCACTTCTCACGAGTGATAAAATTTACAGATAAACGAAAAGAAAGAAGAGGCGAAAGAGGAAAAGAGAGAGAGAGAGAGTGCGCGCACCACAATGTTGATTATCGAAACATGTATATACATTGCATCACGATCGTTTCACAGAAAAAAAAAAATGCATAACACGCGCGCTTCAAAGTCACGGCACCACACATATCCCCGGGAATTCCGTTCTCAGGTAGCGAGAGAGAGCAAATCAGCAACAAAACGATATATATATTGTGTTGCTGTTTTTTTTTTTTTTTTTTACTGAAATTACCTACGACTAGGAAAACCGTCCGTTGTCGCGCGCGTTGTTTCTCAGTCCGAGTCTCGAAATATTCTCTGGCAAGCGGTAATTTTTAACGTGGCGCGAACAACAACCGCTGGGTAACGACGGTCGCCAGCGAGGAGAAGAAACGTACTACTACTACTGTCGGGTTGTTGGAACTCGTGCGGTTTCGACGCGTCTAGCAGCTCCATCTTGACTCGACTCAGCGGCGTCGGCGACGGCGGTCGGCTCTCTCGGTCCCGCACACACACGCCACACGTTCCTTCAAGCCGTCCGCTCGTTTGCTCGCTCGTCCGTTCGTCCCATCCGTTTTCGCTCTCTCGCAAACCGCGCCGGGGAAACGCGCGCGCGCGCACTCTCTTACGCACGCTCGAGCCGCTCTCACTAACACAATAAATCCATTGTGAGGGAGAATTCTTGGCGGCGCATTTCGCGTGTACGCGGGTATAAGAGAGAATACGACGCGGCGAGGGAAAGGTGGAAAGCGCGGAGGCGCAAGGAGTCGGAGAGAGAAGAAGATAAAGTCACCGACTCACAAGTCCGGACTTGTCTCGACTAGCCTGTGTGTGTTCGCGGATGTCGTTACGGTGAGGAGAGAGAAGTGGAAGAGACAGAACATAGAGAAGAAGGAACAGAAGAGGAAGAAGAAGAAGAAGAAGAAGAGAAGAGAAAGACGTGCTCCCGCGTGGAGGGGAAAGGCACAGGAGCGAGAAAGAGAATTATGGAGAAAGGCTTTGTGTGTGTGTGTGGAATGTGTGTATGTGTGAAAGTGAGGTGGGAGGTAAAAGTAGCAGATGAAGGGGGCGAGAGAAAAAGAAAAGGAACCGATATATACCAGAGGGAGGATTGGTGGGGAAGGAATTAATGCATGCCAACGAGAGACAGGAGAGAGAGAGAGAGAGAGAAAGAGAGATAAAGAAAAGAACGGAAAGGGAAGCAGGAGAAGCACGAGGGAGGGAAGGTACGAGTGTATGGTCGTCGTATAAATAGATAAGAGACGATATAGGCGTCGTATAATACGACTCCTAGGCAGGGCAGGTAGTGGATGCTCGTAACATGCGACTAACTATTCCACTCTTGCTTCCCACCCAGTGCGAGCCACCACCGGGAGTCACTGACACACTCGTGCAAGCGCACACACACACACACACACACACACATTCACTCATATACACACCGGGACACGAAGAGAGACACCGAAGGATCGGAGAGGAGCGAGAAGAGGTGGCATGCACGCACGTGTACGCACGCGCACATATATACACCGTGTGGCATACGCGCGCACCCACACCGAGACACAGACTCCGGGGTCGTCGTATATAGCCGAGTTCATTCGTGCACTCGCGTAAATGCCGCGTACGGATGCGCGCGCGCGCATGCTCGATCTCTCTCTCTCTCTCTCTCTCCCTCTCTCTCTCTCTCTCTCTCTCTCTCTTTCTCTCTCTCTCTGTGTGCACACACGTTCGTTGCCGCTCCGGTTTTCGTAGCTCTGTTACCACTTCACTGATACTCCCCCGACAGCTTCATCTGGTTTCACTCTTGCACTCGTGACTCACGTCGCGCGTGTGACACATACGAGCCGAATGAACGAAGAGAAAACAAAGTGTGTGCACACGTACGGCGAACAACTCAACGGAGAGGCTTATTTGGCCTCGGGTCGCGCGCGTTCCGTCGTGTTCCAGCGCGAAACGCGAGTATACTCCGTTCCTCCTCACAGTACGTTCGCGTGCACCAGCGCGCGCGTCACGTCACGAAGTGCGGTCGCTACGCGATAGTAGTCTTTACCGACTGGGAGAGCGGCCGAGACAACGCGACGACGGCGACGGACGGCGACGGACGACGACGACGACGACGTCGCTACTCGGGGGCACGAGCGAGGATTAACCCGGCGACACCGATTATATATATATGACATTGCTGTCGCCGCGTTTCGTTGTGTGTCATAATGTTTCTCCCTCATAGTAGATCTATCTACCTATCTCTCTCTCTATTTCTCTCTCCTTTCATCCTTCCTTCGCTCTCTCTTTCTAATTCCTATCGATGAATCTCTCTCTTCACTGTCACGCTCGCTTGTGTGTGTGTGTGTGTGTACGGACTCGATTGCTCAACTGAACCGCCTGCGACGAGCCGGAGTCGTACTAACCCAGCAGCTAACCACGCGCGCGCATGCACACGTATATATATATATATACATACACACACACACACACACATTATATATATATACACAATGTATAAAGATGTACGTCATACATTCTACACTTATTTACTGTGCCTCTTTTAGGTCTTTTCTACGCTTTCTTCCTCCTTTTCTCTCCGCCTTTCCCGATCGTTACTTTTTCCTACAAATACCGCTTGTATGTATCACGTCGTGTAAGTATACGCGCGCACCAAGTTTTGCTTCTTCGGACAAACCGAAACGCACGCACGCACGCACGCACGCACACACGCGCGCGCGTTACTGTGAGAGCGCGCTCTCGTATACACATTCGCGTACGTAAGTGTGTTGTGTAGTACACGTATATGCACACACAAGCACAGCGGAGAAGAGAGGCTCACGATCGCTCTCTCACTGACAGTGTACCCCCGCGCGCGCGCGTGTTGCTACGTGTATCACGCGCGCGTATCACAGTCGTCCTCCGTCAGCACATTCACACGAAAGGAGATGCACTTGTGCTCTGCGCGCTCCGGGCCGCCGCCGTACGCAGAGTGCCGAGTTGCTACACGCTGTCTTACGTCGAGTAGTGGCGCGACGACTCGCCAAATGCGCGCGCGACCATCGATGCTGAACGTTCGTGAGCGCTCCGTTCGAGAGCCTCTATAACCCGGAGCAGCAGCACACCTACGCACACACGATACACGCCAGCCGCCACAGAGTAGCATCAGCCCAGTGGCGTCACCGTCCGCGCCGTCGCCCCGTCGTTGCCGGTTATCCCGGTTTTTTTTTCTCCCATCGTCCTCCTAATCCGGATTATATTCCTTACCGATTTTGAGAAGAAACACATTTGTCACGCTTTCGAGGTAACAGAAAATATACACAAAAAAGAGACAAAAAAAAAAAAATAAATAAAGGGAGAAACTTGGAAAATGTGTAAATAAACATTTGTGAAAACAGATTAGTCCACAAACATAAAACACAATCGAAAAAATTAAAGTGAAGAAATAAATGACACATAAAACGTTTTATTTATTTGTCAGGCTCTGACGCGTACGCGAATGCAAATAAAAACAATAGTTTTCTGCAAAAACATGACGCACTTCACTATTGCTCTATATAGCTTTTTATTTCCAACTAAATAATTGTCACGGAATAATAGTAACAAATAGACAAGAGCTCTTACGGATTCGTATTACGTTACGTATATATTTTTAGCTAGACGATTATGAATCTTGTCTCTTTCTCTCTCTCTCTCTTTCTTTCTCTTTCTCTCTTAGTGAACTGATTACATACAGCTGATAGCCTCGCATAGGCAACTAACCACTAGTTGGATCACGACGGACTATGAATCACACCAGTGACTACGCGTAGTCATATGTTATTCGGAGTCTTGGATTCTTTTCAAATCAACAAAAGAAAAATTTATACTCTGAATTCTATTCGTTTTTTTTTTTTTTTTTTTTTTTTTTTTTTTTTTTTTTTTTTTTTTTTTTTTTTTTTTTTTTATCGTTTCTTGTTTTATTTTATTCACCATATAAGAATCAATCCCGAACAAATCTCGTTGTAATCTCTTCTTGTTTTACAACGTCATAAATTCACCGCAGGTATTACATTCGATTGTTTGTTTGTCTTGTATTTTTATTATTAGTCTACATTTTACTATTGTTGTTTTTTATTATTCATAGATAAGATAATCTTCGGAATAAAATATACTACTTTTCCAGTTTTGAAAATTGTACGAAACAGCAGCAATTTTTTACAGTGGCGTATTGTTATTTTAAAAATACTGAATTTTTAATCTTTTTTTTTGAAAAACTTCGCGAGTACAAAAACTCTGAGCTCTTTTTTTAACAGCAAAATCTGGCTTCGAATTCTTTGTCGAGTTTTGCAAACAGCGTATTAAGATTAACGAAAAGAGAGAGAGAGAGAGAGAGAGAGAGAGAGAAGAACTGCAGAGACAAAGTAGACATCTGGCGTAACAGTAGCCTCTCGTACGTTGTGCGTAAACGCTCGGGACGACTTGTGCGCATCACGTACACTTGCAAGTGTACACACGATCGCTATCTGCATAGCCAAGCAGGGGCGGGCTGTTACACGCGACTACAGATAGAAAGCTCTATAATAGATTCCAACAATGAATGCACGAGAGCAATTAATGCTGCACGAAGAATACGTCGAGAAAAAATTTTTTATTGACGATTTTCAATGTCTTCTAATCGGAGAGAAAGAGAGAGAGAGAGAATGCATCCAAGAAAGAATTAAAGTTTAACTTGAGTATTATATATAACACTATTTTACATTATTATATTTCTATTTTTTTTTTGCAACCGATCGAGAGAAGAATTCGTAGTGAATTGCCGATACGAACTTTTTCTTTTTTTTTTCTTAGTATAAACTACAACTTCTACTTCTTTATCTGACTAAAGTGTGTTTGGTTAACGCATTGCAGTTCTGCGTCGTGTGTGGACAGAAAAAAAAAATATGAAAAGAAGAAAGAAACAGAGAAAGAAAAGGCACAGAGCAAGTGTTGCGCGCGTGTGTGTGTGTGTAGACGTATGCGTGAGCTGTGTGTGTATGTAACTTGTGTACGCGTGTGTGTGTGTTACGCATACACAACAGAATGTACGAAATCGCCAGGCGCAAGGTTTCTCGGAATTTTCGACAACGGTCCAAGAATTATCGCACGTATCGGTATTATTCTACACAGCGACGATATCGTAACACAAACAGATACTGAAGTAATTGGTAAACACACAGAACTACGATTATGCATCGTGCCAACTTTTTTTTTTATCAGCAGCGCGATTCTTCTT